TGTGATCTCCAGTATCGCTGCTTTGGAGAATCAAATGAAAATGATTGATTCTGTCATGAACTGTCAGCAGCTGACCAGTTTAAAATCCATAGAAAACGGATCAGGGGAAAGTGACCATTTGAGCAATGACTCCTCATCGGCTGTTGGTGATCTCGAAAGCCAGAGTGCAGGCAGCCCTGCAATGTCAGAGTCTTCTTCCTCCATGCAAGCTTTGTCTCCTGTAAATAGTAACAGTGAAAGTTTTAGATCAAAGTCCCCAGGTCTCAGCAACCAGGAAGAACCACAAGAAATACAATTAAAGACTGAAAAGCCAGACAGCCCACCACCTGCAACTGAAAATGGAGGCGCGTTAGATCTGACATCCACCAACCCTGGAAGACCGGTCATCAAAGAGGAGGCTCCTTTTAGCCTGCTGTTCCTGAACAGAGAACGTGGTAAGTTTAAAAGTACTGTTTGTAATATCTGTGGCAAGCCTTTTGCTTGTAAGAGTGCATTGGAAATTCACTACCGCAGCCATACTAAAGAACGTCCATTTGTTTGTACAGTCTGCAATCGTGGGTGTTCCACTATGGGTAATTTAAAACAGCACTTACTGACGCACAAATTAAAAGAGCTGCCTTCTCAGTTATTTGAACCCAACTTTACTCTAGGTCCCAGCCAAAGTACTCCTAGCCTGGTCACCAGTACAGCGCCTACCATGATCAAAATGGAAGTGAATGGTCACAGCAAGCCGATCTCTTTGGGTGAGGTTCCCTCGCTTCCAGCTGGAATCCAGGTTCCTGCTGCACCACAGACAGTGATGAGTCCGGGGATCACCCCCATGCTGGCACCCCCCCCTCGCCGCACTCCCAAGCAGCACAACTGTCAGTCTTGTGGGAAGACCTTCTCCTCAGCAAGCGCACTGCAGATACACGAGCGCACCCATACTGGTGAAAAACCGTTTGGTTGCACAATCTGTGGTAGAGCTTTTACCACAAAGGGGAATCTTAAGGTAAGAGGCCAAATGCAACTGTAAAGGCTTGGGGGGATTGAGGCACTGTACTAGAACTTGGCCGATTTTAGGGCTGAATGTGTGTCCCAGAAACAGGAAAAAAGGGAGATTCAAGGCTCGTTGTATGCCGGTGTGTTTCGTGCTTCTCCTGTGTTAAAGATAGGGACCGAAAAGAGGCTGTGCAAGGATGTGCTCTTTAAAACTGCTTCTGAGTGTATGCACACGTACACAGTGTGTTTTGTCGGACAATCGTGATGTACAGTCAGCTGGTATGCATGCTCTGGCAGTTCTTGTGGAACAGCACTGAAAAATAAGCTCACTCTAAACCAGAAATGCAGAACTATCTCAGCAACTAGTGTGCCTGTCACAGATTTCCATTTTCTGTTCTGCTTTGAGGGCACTGCAGACTAGAAAGCAGTTTCCCACTGATTTACAGCAGGTCACTGCAGGACTCGTGCCTCCTATTCCCGCAGTCTGGTTAACCACCAGGACACAGCCTGGGGAATACACTTTTAACTGTCCTGAAGTTCCTGTTTTTAATATTATATTTAGCAAAACGATTGATGCATTTGATGTGAGATAAAATATTAAGAGAAAAGATGTTGAAAGGGAAAGGGCAGAAAAAATGCCATCTCCTAGTATGAGTAAAAGCACTTGGTAATCTTCACCATGAAGAATTTCCAGCTTGCATACGAGACTGTCCAAACCTAAAAGGATGCATATGCTTTGTTCTTTTGGTGCACACTGAAAGATTATTACGGAGCTGGATTTTCCTTTGCACAGCTTGACCAGGCCTTAGAACCGTGTCTTAACTGGAATTGGTTTGTTTCCAATGTGAACTAAAAGACTTTTTCTAAAACCGGAATTAAAAGACCTTTTTTAAAAGCAAGGGGCTCAGCCCAGCCACTCATCTGGAAGATGCTAATGTGAGGGTGTTTCTTGTCCCATTTGCATTGCAGGTTCACATGGGAACGCACATGTGGAATAATGCACCTGCACGCCGTGGCCGTCGCCTCTCCGTGGAAAACCCCATGGCTTTGCTGGGTGGTGATGCACTGAAGTTCTCTGAAATGTTCCAGAAGGATTTGGCAGCTCGGGCCATGAACGTTGACCCCAGTTTTTGGAACCAATATGCTGCAGCTATCACAAATGGACTTGCCATGAAGAACAATGAGATTTCTGTCATACAGAACGGAGGCATTCCTCAGCTCCCAGTAAGTCTTGGTGGAGGTGCCATCCCACCTCTAAGCAACCTTACCAGTGGCATGGACAAAGCTCGCACAGGCAGCAGCCCTCCCATTGTTGGTTTGGACAAAGCAAGTTCTGAAACTGGAGCCAGTCGTCCATTCACCAGATTTATTGAGGACAACAAAGAGATTGGCATAAATTAAAAGCATTCGTTACGAATTACTGTTGGACCACTACTCAACGCAACACTTGTCCTGTTCCATGTACAGCTTTTGAAGTTAAGCATTAGTTTCCTGACCTAAATGCATAGGTTCCCCTTAAAATTTTACCTGTAGCAGAAATACCCAACTTTGTGGCTGCTGAAAAGTTGTCTTGCAAGATCTGCATGGTACTTCTTTCAACAGTGAGTTTGACTGTTATTGAGAACTGTGAAACCATTTAATTTAACAGAAACAAACAAAAAAACCATTGGATAACTTCATTAGACACAGAAAGAGGCTAGTCTACGTCCACTTTCTTCTTAGAAACCTTAATATCAACTGAGAGAGGGGGCTTCGCTATGGCATTCTGTCACACTTGCTGGTTTTGTTCAAATTAGTTAGCAACTTGGACTATGTTTTTAGGAATCTTAATCTCAAATAAGTGATTTAGTACCCCAATGCTGTGTATTATTACAGTATCCTTGTCTGTAGTATTTATAATGTTAAGACTATGCGGGTAACAGACAATATACTAGCCCCAAATTTAAATGAAGCTCTTGTACTGCAAAATACATCTGGTTATGTGACCTTTCTTTTTCTTTTCTTTTCTCTCTCTCTCTCTCCCTTTTTCTTTTTCTTTTTCTTTCTTTTTTTTTTTTAAAGCAAGTCTTGTTTTACTATAAATAAGTGGTTTATTTTAATGCAGACAAAATTGTGAAGTTTTATTGGGAAAGATAGCATGCTTTTCATGTGCAAGTACCTGTCAGTAACAAACTTTTTTTTTTTAATTTAAGTATTTGTAGCTGCTATGTGGACAGTTGTTCTATTAAATGAAAAAAAGAAAAAAAAATGTAGTGTGGACTTTAGCTCAATGATTGGAAAACAAGTTACAGACAAACCTTAGCACCATAAATTATTCACAACGTAATAAACAGTTGTGAGTAAATACTTCATGTTATCAAAGCTGTACAATAAAAAGGTAATGTTTGTATAATGTGGTTGCAAACTCTTAATTTATACTATTGCACTTTTAGTATTTTGTATTAGGGAGGTTTGTCTATAATTTGAAACTGAACTAAGATGTAAACTATTTTATAAATAGTACTTTGACTTAAGGAATAACGGGGGAAGCCCTGTTACACTTTCTTGTTTTGTTTTAAGGTCAAACAATGAGAGCTCTCTTAACTAAGCAGAAAAGCTGCAGAGAACTGTCAGATCCTTAGGAAAAATGGGCCTGCCATTTCTTAAATTGAAATGATTCATTTAACTTTCCTACAAAGCCCACTTAAAAGCGTGACCACCCCCAGCAGAATTCTGATGCATTTATCTTAGGAGTGTGATATTAATACAAGTCTAGGATAGATGACAGAGGACATTGCGTAGGTTTAATTTTACTGTGATCTGTTCTATCTTTCACACACACCCACCAGAAAGATGTTGACTGCCTAATAATGCGGGGAAAAAAAAATAATAATAACTTTAGGGCAGCATGAGCTGTAGTATGTTATGTGTTTATTTCCAACTCTCACTGATTATCTTCTCAGATCGCTCTGAAGCACAATATGCTCTGATTAATCGAATATGATTTTATGTTGATTGCATTCTTTCAATTACACTGAGTAAATAAAGGGAATGGTTCCACTCATAAGTCAGGCTGGGGATGCTGAGAAGACTGGGGCTTGATCAAAACTTGAACAGTAAACATTTTGTGTACTACCTCATTTTTGTGCATTACAAGCGTGGTGGAGTCTGACACTATGAACTTCCGTCCAGCAGAATTGCTTGAGGGACGTTATGGGTAGCTGGGTAACAGCACAAGGAGTTTTATGCCCCTGCAGAGTGAATCAGACAGTGAGGTCTTCTCATTTGAGACTGAAAAAATAAGACAATCTTTCTTACACAACAAAAACTTACTGTAAGAGGATGGTCTGTTTCTGCCATCGTGTAATGGAGTGCAAAGAGTTTCAAAGACTTACTAGCTGTTTGTTTCTACTGGAAATGAGCAATGAACTATACGTCTCCATTTTTTACAATGATGAGATAGATATATAGATATACATATCTATATATAAACAAAATTATGTATCTATAATGCCTCTACAACATAACATCTTTCTTTTGCCACAGTGTGTGAGTGGTTAGGGGTGTTTCCAGGCATTTTGAAAAAGAAAACTGAGGTGGCTTAATGTTGCTGCATTTCAGCAATTGAATGTTTTTATTTATCTGTGTCATTTTTGGTGTGAGTTTTTCTGTTAGTATTTGGTACCATGTAGTGTTATCTTTATTCCCTAAAGGATGTGTATAACTTAAAAAAAAAAAAAAAAAAAAGTTAAAAAAAAAAAGTTAAAAAACAAACAAACAAAAAAAAAAGGTTTAAAAAATAAAAGAAATAAAAAGGGGGGGGGAAAAAAGAAAAAGAAGAAAAAAAAGATGAAAGATGTAAAGTGTTGTAAATAAGATGGTTGATGATGGTACAGTAAGACTGAGCCCATTTTGTATTCAGGGTTAGGTCATTCCTCTCTGCATGGTGAAGAGAGACACTATTTTTATACTGTGATACCATGTAGGGCTAGGAGCCTCCCTGAACCAGCTGGGAATTGTTACTTAGATCCAATATTTTTTATTATTGAATCTTGTTGGCTTGACACACCTACTGATTGAAATGGATGTCTTAGTCTAGGTTACTATTTTTGTCATATGGAGTTGAATAAAATGCAGGATGTAATATTATTTCTGAATTGCGTTCCTTGATTATTCTAATAACAGTGTGAGATAACGAGAATGAGGTCACTTGTGGTAGATTGGTGTCAATGGCTTCTAATCGTTGCATCTGAAAACTGGAATAAGGTTGACACCTTGTATTTAAATGCTGCTCTAATGTATATTAGCGGTGCAAAGGGGTAGAATTATTCAAGTCTCTTTTCCAATGAAAATAAATCCTCAGAGCATTTCATGCAAGACAGTAGAAGGAAAAAACAAACAAACAAACAAACAAAAAAAACAACTTGGAGGAGGGAAAGCAGCCTTTGGAAGTATTACTGCTTCAAACTGACTGCATTCTGCACACTTTTTATGTCCTGTTTACAGCAGAAGGTTGATTTTCACGTTGTTTCAACATCTACCTAAAATCCATTATGTGCTGCACGATATAAAATTTGAGAACAAATTGGTCAGAAGTTCAAATCCAAAAATTCAAAATTAAGAACCAAATTAGCAACTCGCATCCATTCATTCCAAATGACATTCTGTATAATAAAACCTATGGCTTTTTTCTTTATTTTATCAAGACCCCAATTCATCAAAGCATGCCTAACTTTAACCAAATTATTTTTTCATGCCAATTTAAATGTAACTTTTTCATTCTTGAGGATAGGCATACGATTAAATATCTCCTGCACAAACCTCTGCCTTCAAGCTGCTATGATCTGGTGACGGATGCCTGCTGCATTTAAAACGGACAAAAAATAAAGAAAAGCAAAGAAAAATCTGACTTAATTATCTTTTAGTGGCCTTGCTATGAAAATACTCTGTTCTATAAGGTCTACTCAGAGAAGGTACGAGTTTCCTCTGGTGATTCAACAACAGGTTTTTGCTTGTGCTTACGTCCCTGCGTGCACATCTCTGAGCCTTGCTGAGAGAAATCCTGACGTGCAAAAAAAGAGAGGGCTCTGATAGTTATAATACTGTTCAAAACACAGAGAAAAGTTTTCTGCCTTCCCATCCTCCCCCACCAATGCTATCTATCCTTAAGTAAGCAGTGGGGTATTTTTGTTCTTATAGGAAGACGTTAAAGAATTTGAATAGGTAAATGTGTTACACAGGTAAAAATAGTCAAAGTCTGCTGAACTACAGATGTTTAAAAATAGAGCCATGTAGGAATTCTGTAATCAGAAAATGATGCAAGTTTTGGTATTTTCTGGGGAGGGTTATTGTACATTGTGGAAATTTCAGCAATGCTTTCAAACTCTTCACTTATTTTTTTCCCACAAGTGATTAGAAATAGAGTATTTATGACAAATGAGTGACATAATTACTTTTTTACCTGTTTGTGTTTGGTTTTTTTTTCCCCTTTTTTCTCTGTGTGTGTATTAGCCCTCAATACAATAGCTATTCCTTCATCTATTTTGTCCTTTCCATCTTGGCAAATACTTTGCATTCCTACGACTGCATTTGTTTTGTATTTCTGTTGACTTTAATTTACTTCTCTGCATGTACTCTGCCATTTGGAAGATACTGTGGGTTTTGGTTGTTGTTTTGTTTTTTTTTTTTCCTTTTTCTCTAATTCTGCTAAAGTCAAAAGATGTACCTTTCTTTTTTTTTTTAACACCTGTGTGTAATGCTAGGATAATGAACGATGAAGTAATCAGTGATATGATCAGGTATGTGTATAGCTCACAGGATGCCCTAAGAAACGTGCCATTCACACTTTTCTTTAGATGAAGATGTTAAGTTTGGTAGTGTGCTGGTACAGATATTCAGGAGAATGGAGACTTTCATCCTAACTTCACCACACCTGCTGTTACACCGCTGGAAACTCCATGGCCTTCAATGGAGATACTCCAAATGATTAGCTATGTAGTATATTGAAAGTATGTCTAGACAAAAGTATCCTGGACTTTATTTTTAAAAAGAGGGAAGAGATAATATGTATATTTTAGTACACACTGCAAGATTATTAAGGAAGTCATGAAATCTGAATCTGAAAAACATGACCGTGCCCTTTAATGTAGAATTTGATGTGAGAACGCCATGTGAATAATCGGTCCCTTCTCACATAAATGAGTAAAAGAGCTAAAAACTTCTATGTATTAAGTAGAAAAATGTGAAAAGCTTGCTGTGAGATTGCTACACAACATACACGCCACCACGCAAATGCTTTTCCTTTGCATATGCTCAAGGTATCAGCAGATTAATTAAAAGAATAAAATTTGTGCAGCTCCAGCACATAGTATTTTATTTTTCCAGAAGGCAGAACGGCTCGATCGGTTGGCAAAGTGACAAACCTGAAAGCCAAAAGCTTTGCGTTGTGCCACTGACACATTTCAGAGAAGTGGGCAGGTCTCTAATCAGACTCTGGTTCTCCCTGGCAGTTAAATAACCCTGGGGCCCCTGGGAATCTGGGAGTGCACTCCCTCTGCAGAGTCGACCAGCACCTTGTAGAAGTGGGATGAGTTGCACTGTCAGTAAAGATGGGAAAATACTTTTGTACCTACCTCACAGGGGTGTTGTGAGGAATAGTTTTATGTCTGTACAGTGTTTCAAAGATGGAAAATGCTTGGTATTACTGCTGATTTTAGAGAGTTTACAGTACAGGTTCTATTATTTATTATTTGTACACCAGTAGTACCTGCAGGCTTCAGTCAGGACTGAGAGCCTTGTCCTAAATGTTGTACACCAACCTAGATAAAACTGATACAAAATTTTACTCAGTAACATTTTCCAGTGGGGTTTCTCCATTATCAAGTATCTATTGGATTACTCTAGTGGGCCTCATTCAATTATTTAGGTATTCAAATGGATTATCCGTTTTTGACTGCAAATGAGAGTTATCTGGTATCACATTTTGTTTTGAGCTTGTATTGATTTTCTTCTAGAAAGAGCACCAATTTTCTATGGATAATCTAGAGTCAAATCTTGCTATCAGTGGAATTCTACTGTACCTTTTGCTATTAAAGCTAAACGTTAAAATAAATGTGTGTGTATATATTATTATACACAAGTATATAATATACATGTACTTACAAACATGTATGTTTGAAACCTTTTTAGCTGCTTAGAATTAATTTCAAAATGTGTGTTGAGTATTTTGTTCAAGCGTTATCCATCTCAGATGCAATTAAAACATCACTCAATGGTGCTGGCCCTCATTAAAGGCAAACTGGATATCATGATAGCAAAAGACGTATCATTACTATGATCATATTCCTGTAGGCGTATGAGGAAAGTTTCTAAGTCACAAATGTGTTAAAAAGGCTTCATTACATCATAAAAGTCTTTACTTAGTTTATGTTGAAGTAAACTATTATATCAGGATGAGACACTCTCTGTATATAAGTATGTTAAAATAAATAATTATATAATTCCAAAGATAATGCTTGCTATCATTTGGATGTTGAAAAGAAAGTAATTTGTTTCCCAGATTGGCAAACGATATTTAATATTTTTTTAGACACACGAATTCATAATTATCTGATTTACAGTGGTATGCAGAACAAGCTCTTAGAAAATGTTTCATGTGTTAAATATATTAGCTCAATTCATTCTATGGATACTCTTGTCTTTTTTCTGTGAGTGTCAGGGAAATTTTCCTTTAGATTTATTTGAGGCATCCTTAATGATGTTAGCTGCTGATTTTACTGAGGCATCTCATGGAGTAAAGGTAGAAGTGGTTCTTTCACTTCTGCTGATTACTGACATCTCTCCATCACGCCGTTCTGGTTGCCAGTTCAACATGATTATATCTGCATCTCTGCCAGTTTTTTCAATCTGTTGATACTTGTTCTGCCACAATGTGCACTTCCTATAGGACCTACAGGCACACTAAAATAAGTAATGTATTAAAGATAGCCTGGTGATAGAGAGTAAGATGTCTATCTATACTGGTATTCCTATACCATTACCTGTTTGCAGCAAATAAAATGTGCACATAAAAGAAGAGATAGGCACGGTTCCGTTTGTTTTCCATCACTTTATAATGAAGAATGTGTCTGATCTAGGAGGTTTGAGTTGGATTTTTTCTTTTTTAAACATTCTAGTTAAGAACAGTTGGAAACACTCATCTCAAGCAGTGGTGAGCACAACTTTTCAGGTAAGAGTTTTGTAGGTAACATACGATTGGGCCTTGCCTTTTCATCTGCCTGTGTTCCACTAAAGGACACATCCCAACAAATCTTTCTAGACCACTTAATAATTAGAATTTAGTCCTTCATGTAGCTTTTAGTCTACCATCATCCAATCCCAAACGAGTTTGCTGAAACCAGCAGGGAATCTAAGGTATTAGCCAATGTACATAATGGGTAGAAGAATCAAGTTCCCTGTGCGTTTTGGAAATTTGCTCAGAAGAAAATTCAGCTGAATCTTCAAACAGTTGTTAATGTATCTGGTGTTATTTAAATGACACCTATTCCATCTTTTGAGAACAGTCTGGGCCAGACTGTGGTACTTTCTGTTACGCTAAGTGGCAAAATGCTCCAGTTTCCTCTAAGTAAATTAATGGCATGTGCCAAGCAGTATTACTCATTGGAAGGATATTTTCATAAACGTTATCAAGAATCCTATCACAATACCTGCATACCAGCCCCATGGTAGATTATTACCAATGAGACTGATAGGTGGGGACATCTTTCTTACTCCTCCACCCCACTT